TTTTGGTAACGATGTGCTAAAATCTCTCCTGCAAACCGGTAAGTACAACCTTTCTGGATCCTTTTGTTTCCATCTAGGGTCAAAGACACCCCCTCTTCCAAAAAGAAGATATAATAATCCTATTTATTTATTTATTTTATTATAGCCATTGCAGAAAAGAAAGAACTTAAGTGGCTAATATCTTGCAAAGGAGACAGAAAGACTTATACTGCAACATAGCTCTCACCTCTCTCTGTTCTTCCCAATTAGACGCTGGTTTTAATTGCAGAGAGGTATTTTTTTTTTTCATGCTTTCAACCATCTCTTTCCCACAGGGGAGGGTTTCATTTACAAGTTGATCCTAAGGATTTCTGTTCCTCTGGCATTCTCTTCCCTAAATGTATCTTTCTGCTCTTAAGTTTGTGGATGGGGGGCACGTTTTTCTAGTTCTTGCACGAGGAAGGCAAAAAGGACCTTTTCTACTGAAAGATTAAGACTAAAAGCAACAATCGCTCTGAATAATTCTAATGGGCATTTCAGAGATTCAAGGAAGGCTGCATCACTGCCGTTATTATTACCATCCTTATCATTTCTCTGTGCCCATACATTTAAAATACCTGATGAAAGGAACGGTGAAACCATATGTTGAAGGAGCTGCATCTCATTAGTCCAGTATTATTTTCATCTGATTGGAGAAGAATGGTGTCTTCATTCGTAAATGTATATAGTAGGATAGATAATTTACTGGCTGGTAAGTGTCGAGGTATTTTTTTCTTCCACTTTCAGCTTTTTAACCGCGTCTCTTGCTTGGTCCTGGGGTGCAGAATACCCTAATCCAAGGCAAGATGAGTGTTTCAATCCTAGGTGCCTCTTCAGCTGTCACTTCCCTTTAGATCTGCTCATTGCATGGGCATGTGCTTTAGAAAGATTAATCATCTCTAAATGCTTTAATCAGCTAAAATGACTAATATGTGGTATGTATTTATCTGATAATATACCAGTTGCATTAATTCATCGGCGCATCTGTAAAGGGAAGATTTTCTTTTAAATCAGGGTTGTTGACCATTTACTATTTTAAAGATGATACTGTGGGGATTTATGAAGGGAACCGTTTTGCCAGGGACACCAGCAAAGCTTGCACATTCCTTTGAACTTACATTATGGAATACATTGAGTTGGGAGGGAGAGAAATTTGAGGACTGAGATTCAGTAACTTTGGGAGTTTGCATGTATGAAAGATGTGGTGCGACACTGGAGAAATCTACCCACTGATATTTCCCCCCCATAGTCGATGCAGGCTGTGATGGCTACAAAGCTAAAATTGCAAATGAGTATCAAATATGTGTAGTCCTAACCCCTGGTCCTACAGTGTAAAACATGTAAAGATGCAACATGTTCACCTTGTGTGCTCAGTGTTGCTGTGTTGGTCTACATGTGCTGTCCTCTTAATAGGTGGCATTTACCAAAGGGAGGAGGGGGATAAGGGTGGATGATATCGCGTGATTAAACCTTCTAACATCTCTTAAGTATAAATCAGGGCACAGCTTGCCCATCTGACAGCCTTAGAGTTGGTTGTGAACATCTGCTCAACAATTTCTGAACTTCCCAGGAGCCTAACACAAGTCTAGCAGGTAGGGGCTTAGGAAAAAGAGTGGGGCAGGACAAAAATACTGAAATCTGCATTTTTCTTCCCATTGCAGTTTTGCAAACATCAAGAAATGATGAAACCTTCCACAGCAGAGACACTTCATAAAGGAAGGATGTTGTGGATAGTTCTTCTAAGCACAATTGCTCTAGCATGGACTACACCAATTCCCTTGATAGAGGACTCGGAGGAACTCGATGAGCCCTGCTTTGATCCATGTTACTGTGAAGTAAAGGAGAGCCTTTTCCATATACATTGTGACAACAAAGGATTTATAAATATTAGTCAGATAACACAGTCATGGTCGAGACCGTTTAAACTTTATTTGCAGAGGAATTCCATGAGGAAATTGTACACCAACAGTTTTCTTCACTTGAACAATGCTGTGTCTATTAACCTTGGGAACAATGCACTGCAGGACATTCAGACAGGGGCTTTTAATGGGCTCCGAGTTCTGAAGAGGTTGTATTTGCATGAAAACAAATTGGACATTTTCAGAAATGACACTTTCCTAGGTTTGGAAAGTCTGGAATATCTGCAGGCAGATTATAATGTCATTAAACGGATTGAAAGTGGTGCGTTTCGAAACCTAAGTAAATTGAGGGTCCTCATCCTAAATGACAATCTTATCCCTATGCTTCCCACCAATTTATTTAAGTTTGTGTCCTTAACCCACTTGGACTTGCGTGGGAACCGGCTAAAAGTCCTTTCATACCGTGGGATGTTGGACCATATTGGCAGGAGCCTGATGGAGATCCAGCTGGAGGAGAACCCGTGGAACTGTACGTGTGAGATCGTGCAGCTGAAGAGCTGGCTGGAGCGCATCCCCTATACTGCCCTGGTGGGGGACATCACCTGCGAGACCCCCTTCCACTTCCATGGGAAGGACCTGCGGGAAATCAAAAGAAGTAAGCTCTGTCCCATGCTGTCCGACTCTGAGGTGGATGCCAGCCTAGGCATTCCTCAGCTGTCGTCCAGCAAGGAGAATGTGTGGCCTACGAAGCCTTCGTCCATGCTGTCCTCCTTCCATTTCACTGCTTCCTCTGTTGAGTACAAAACATCCAACAAGCAGCCCAAACCCACCAAGCAGCCCAGGGCACCCCGGCCTCCCCCGACATCCCGCGGCTGTCCGACTCTGAGGTGGATGCCAGCCTAGGCATTCCTCAGCTGTCGTCCAGCAAGGAGAATGTGTGGCCTACGAAGCCTTCGTCCATGCTGTCCTCCTTCCATTTCACTGCTTCCTCTGTTGAGTACAAAACATCCAACAAGCAGCCCAAACCCACCAAGCAGCCCAGGGCACCCCGGCCTCCCCCGACATCCCGCGGCCTATCCCCTGGGCCAAACCAGCCACCAGTGGCTGCCTACCAGACCCGGCCCCCTATCCCCATCATCTGCCCTACTGGCTGCTCTTGCAGTTTGCACATCAATGACCTTGGCCTGACAGTCAACTGCAAAGAACGAGGGTTTCACAACATCTCTGAGCTCCTGCCCAGGCCCTTGAATGCCAAGAAGCTGTACCTGAGCGGGAATTTGATCCAGAAAATCTACCGCTCTGATTTCTGGAATTTTTCTTCCTTGGATCTCTTGCACCTGGGGAACAATCGGATCTCCTACGTGCAGGATGGGGCTTTTATCAACCTACCGAATCTCAAAAGCCTGTACCTGAACGGCAATGACATCGAGCGGCTTACCCCGGGCATGTTCCGGGGCCTGCAGAGTTTGCATTACCTGTACTTCGAGTA